AAAAAAAAAAAAAAAAAGAGTAAATGCCAAGAAGTGGCACATGAAAGTAGCAAAACCATCCAAGAGAATGGGCTTATTTTTCTTGAGAGAGGGCAGCCCTCTCTTTACATCCACATATAAGTTTTACCTCTAAGATTCAAGCTTGACCCAATCCGAGTTCAAGCAAGACAAAAGACAGATAGTTCTACCTCAAATCTCTCCCACTCTGAAAGATGAGAAAGGGAATGGTTAGAATCCCAGAGATGAGTGGGGAGGGGAGAGGGACTTTAGCTCTCTGCTCCTCACTCTTGAGAGGCCTTTTGGATCAGTGCTCTTTGATTCTGCACTATCACCACCTCCTCCAATGGGACCCTTGCTATCTCCCTGTATAGAGAGGGGAGAAATACCTTGTTTTTAGATAGGATGCTTAGAGGTTGTCCCACACATATGATGTTTCCTGCCAGTTCTTCTTTGAGTCTATCCTGACAGTCATGGAAGGGAAGAGAATATTGGTTGATCCATGTCAGGATGTCAGGATTACTGACTGTGGAAAAGAGAAAACAAACTCCAGAGTAACTCTCCTTATCACAAGGGCTCTTGCAACCAGATCCTATTTTGTAAATACATTTAGTCCTGAGAATATTCAGTGCAGGTAGCAGCAGACACTCCATTTTCCTTTAGGATTCTTTGTTCAGTAATCTCCATGTTGGAGAAGTAGATTTATAAGTCCCCTTTGTCAGGTATCACATCCATAGTTCTTTCTGTACTATGCATCATTTACAAAATTTTGAAAAACTGTGAGTTATTAGTGACCACAAGGAGAAAGAGACAGCAGCAAACCCATTGTCTCTAAGATTTTCCCCCTACACACACATGCATGCACGCACACACACACACACACACACACACGCATGCACACACACACGCTCTTATTGGGCATATACTTGATCTTTTTCACATTTAATTAGAAAGGGAGAAACTATTTTTAATGCATATAAAACTGCTTTTTAGTATTTATTTATAAGCATATATAGTATGTGTATTGCTATAAATATACATATGGATTTCCCCTTAAGAAGTCGTCATGTTGTTTATCTCCATAATAGCAATTGCTATTATAATATCAACTTCAAGACAGAGGGACTTTAACCAAGATATTATATAATTTTAATTTCTGGTAGATAATAGCAAACAGAAAGGAAACAAAAGTTTGACCAGAGATTGCTCAGACTGAGTCCAGTGTTGTTTAAGGAGCAGTATTTTTTTCTGAAAGAGCATACCCAATTGAATGCCCTAAAGCAGATTAGGCCAGAAGGTGTCAGGTCAGAGAAGAAAAAGAAATTATATTCAGTTTTAAGTTTTTATGGTAACTAAATTAAAATATGTATAAAAAGTTAAATGCAAGTCACTTAAGTTACTTGAAATAATGAATTTCTAATAAATATTGGAATCCCTGCACCAGAAAGCTCGTAGAGCTACAGTTCGTCACTGTGATTTTGACATGTAGAGCCTGTATATCTCTGAATAGTTTTGTTTTGTTTTCAAATGGTACATAATACGTTACTTCTATAAGTTGTGATTCAATTACTTTTGATAAGACTTATAAAGCCAAGGACAAAAATCATACAAGCTGCAATTTTTCAGAAAACATGTTCACTTAGATTTCCAAGTACTTTGCTTCTAAGTTGAAAAATGAAGCTGCAAAATACTGAAAATATAATAGTTTCTACTTTTTATTTGTTTTTTTACCAAAGACTGATTTTTTAAATTCCACTTTGATTTGCTTTTACAGAACAGGTGCATTGTTCTGTAGCCACCAGAAAAAGATTTAAATTGGCTTAATAGATCCAGGACAACTTGCTTGAGTGAATGTAGCTTTTGCAAGATAATCAGTGTCAGCCTTCACCTCTTAAAATCAGCTGATCAGGATCAGATGTCCTCTGAAAAACACGTCTCATTGTGCCAATCAATCAACAGCATCCCCCTGAAGTAGCTAGGCCTCGGCAGATGATGTAACCCATTCATACCTCTGAAAGTTCTCCAATCCCTCAACTCCAAGCTTCCCACAAACCCCATATGCTAATGAGCACTTCACTCTGCTCAGTGGGATGGTGCCTGTCAGCATTGCTGTACCTTGCTATAATAAGCAATAGATTTAGATTTGTCATTTCATTTCATATATCAGGTGGTGATATCCTCATCCTCTCATAATATCTAAAGAAAGCATAATGGAGTAACAGCCAACAAAGACCAACAAATGCATTAGAAAGTAAATTTCTTTGTAAGTGTTCTTTATTAGACAGACTCCTGCAGAGACCAGATCTCTCTGCTCATCCCAATTTCAGCTCACAGGGGAGAAGGGTGTATACTTACAACATGGGCTATCACTATTTTTTCCATGAGGGATGACAGGCCAGGGAGATACCTGCTGATTATGTCATAATAATCAATTTCTCTATGAACCACCCAAGTCTCCACCTCTAAGTGGGAACTCCGGGATGGAACAGTAGGTATGAGTGGCACTCTCTGCGAGGAACCAGCTCTGGTGACAGGGCAGGTGCTCTCTGAAACATTCTTTTGTCTCCCAGTGTTCTCTGCACATAAATTGGGTTCTCTGTAGAGGATGTAGGAAGCATCGTCTGCTGCCTCACTATATCACATATATATTATGTTCATTTTCCCCACTGTTCTTCCATTGTGTGATAGGCTTTCAGCAACTATCAATGAGTAAGTCACCCTCCAACAGGCTGCCTTGATGACACTGTCTTTGTGCATGAAAACTCCTATTTTTCCATCTTTATTTCAATCCAGTTCTCTGGACTCTGTTTTCAATATTCTATAGATATAAAAATTACTGTCTGCTCCATTTGTTGGTGTCAGAGTGGCTGCCCTTTATCAGTCTCTTCGAATTTTATCTATGACCTCCAGTTATGGTGGTATAGGGCCCTGGCAGGAATCCCTCTATGGTGGACAACATTGTCGTACAGCAGCGATTTCCATCAGGGACATTCCCCCACATTTTCTCCCAGCTCCAACCTCCTCAGTATAAAAAACGTAGCATCAAACACTTACGGTTTTTATATTTATTCCAGGTCCAAGTTGGAATAAAGCAGGACTCATTAAATGGAATTGGTTCCAAGGCTATGGCTATAGTCCCCACATAGGAGTTGAGTGAAGCAGGCTTGGACAGTTTGATCATCATTAGGTCATTGTTCAAGGATTTTGCATCAAAGTCAGGGTAGGTCACAATCGATGAATAGTTTCGTATTTGTTGTTTCTTATTTGTGATGCTAGGTTGAGAAACTCCTAGTCGAATTTCAACACTTTGGAAGAAAGAGGGCAGACAGATGAAAAGAAAGAGTTATAGGATGACAGATCACAAGAAATGATACAGTCCACCCCCTTCGTTTTGACTTTCTGTCTTAATCTGAGAGCTGACATGGCCTGCCTTTGCCTATAAAATAATGGTTATAGTTTACAGAATTGTTGTATTAGAGACATAAATTTCTAAAATGTCTGACCTGGTTCTGGCACCTAAAACATAGTCAGTAGAGTCTTGTTATTAAGATTTTGATCATCTGAATTAGCAGCTAATAGAGAGGCACCACACATCCTGTTCATGCGTTAAGTATGGATGTAAGAAAGAACATCTGATTTTCCAATTCTTATTCCAGGACGATGTGAGCTGCCTATTTCCTTTGTATTTCCCATATACCACAGATCACAGGTTCAGTCTGTGTTAAACTAAACTGCATTGAACAGCCAGATGCTTAGATTTCTGAATTTGAAAGACCTCTTCTATACTCATGAAACTGAGCGGGTCTTGATCACACAACACATTCTCATACACAACAGAAACACTGAGATTTGCAGGAAATTGCTTTATTTTGTATAGTGCTCCCTTGCCCTTCTACTGTCACTGCATGATATGGCTTCTGCCTAATTCTTTGACCTCATCCTACTCAGCATACCCCCTTAGTTCCTGCTGATTTCTCAGCTTGCCAAATGCCCTAATATCTTTGCTGTTTCAGGGAGCATATGAATATTGTTCCCTTGGTCTGGAATATCCCCCAGGATTAATGCATTTGGCTGTCTCTTTATCTTCCTATTGATCTCACCTCTTCAGAGATGATGGACATGCTCACATTAACTAAGGCAGATCTCTTGTTTCATGGCCATATATTACAGCTTGGCATTTGCTTTTGTAATGCTTTCTTTTGGGCCACTTATTTGTGTTGGCTACTCCCTCTACCAAATGAAACTCCATGAGGGAACACTTATTTTCATCTTGTTCCTTCACTGTTTAATCAGTGATTAAACAGCCCTTGCTATATAATAAGTGTTTAACAAGTATTGTTGATGAATGACTATTATTTACTACCCATGAGAGGGAATCCTCTGACACCTTCCTACTTATCTCCTCTTAAACTGCCCAAATTTGTATTCTATTTCCAACTGGAACAAGAATCTCTTTTTTTCTGTGTCTTCTGATTTCACTAAAAATTTTCTGGAATGCTTCACCAGATCTACGATTCTTTGAACAGATTACTCCCAGCTTGCAAGAGAAAGGGAAACTTACGGTAAGGGGCAGTGGGCAGCCGTCAATACCCACTGAGGGTGAATGAGAGACCCCACACAGGGTTCTGGGCTGGATTGCAGATAGACCATGTAAGGAATAGTAAAATTATATGATAACTCCTGATTATCTTTAGAATCTTTAGCCAGAACAGCTCCTGGAGAAGAAAGGGGTATAAGTGGAAAGAGAAAAGGAAGTTAAAAGGCCAGAACTGGTGCGGGTAGCTTTCCCTAACCTAAGGTTTTCAAATGTAATGTAAAGATCTTCAATTTACTTTTTATATTTTTATCAGAGAAAATTATCTATGTCCCCTAGGTTATATACAATAAGAAAATTGACACATGGCTTTTCTGAGATGAAATTATATCAAAAATCTGTGAAACTAACTCATATGTTGATCACAAACTCTGACTGGCAGTGCTGTGTGTTACAAGGATGAAAAAAAAGTGACTAATTTTTTTTAAATTCACTTTTGCCAAAAATGGGGGTAAAAAATTACTGCCTGACTTTGGTGGTATAAGGAATAGAAAATCTTAGGGCTTCCAGAGCCCCTGACCCAGCTCACCCCCCTTTTCCAGGCCCATGTCCTCTAATGTGGTTCCTTTTGTTTTCTTCAACAGCTGTTTTATTTAAATGTCCTCCACTTTCTAGCTCTTAAGTTGTGCCCAGCTACTCTTCTTTCAAATCTTTCATAGACTATCCTGGCTCTCACCCTAGGCAGAAACAAAGTCCCAGAGTCTCACCAGCTGCACTCAAGAGAGCGATGATGAGAAAACCCTTCATGGCAGACTGTGATCTCGCCAGAAGCAGACAAGTTGATCAAGCTATAAACTGCCGCAGTGTTTAGTCCAAGTGTCTTTTCCAAGAACAGCTGTGGAGGAACACTAATTACAGGCAGAAGATAGATGACAGGAGAGCAGTCTTCAAATGAGTCCTTATCAAGACCCAAATCTATATGACATTGCTGGGAGCCGTCTCTGATGTGGGTGAAAGAGAGTGGCACAGACCAAGCCAAGGTCCTGGTGCCTCCTTTCCTATCCTACCAACCTTGCTCAGAGTCATTACATACCTGCTGATTTTCCCTCCCCTCTCTGTGACACACCTTTGTTGTCCCCTCCTCCCTCTATGACCTAAACCTCTCTCCCTACCCACCACCCTGCCATCTCACCTCTTTGAGAGACTTCCCAAAAATTAGAGTATGAAATGCACTTAAATCATTGTTTTTTTAATTCCCTCTAATTTTAGTGATGAGGAAGTTGTGGTTCTCTTGGAAGCTAGTGGCAAAGTCAAGACCCAGTACTCAGTCTCCATATGCCCTGTGTCAAGGTTGAACGGTACCTTAGAAAAGAGCGATGGTTAAGAATTCTCCGCACCCTTTTGTGCTCTGGGAAATGAATTACCATAAAGAACTACCTTTCCTATATGATAAGACTCTCTACCCATTCTTTCTCCTAACACCTGGAAAATTTCTCGTGGTTCTCTTGTTTACTTGTGATGCATCAAACACGGACCTCTCCTCTTTTGCCTGTGCTTGCTGACATGGTCAGATACAGACCCTCCAACTCCCCATTTTTTGTTCCAAAAATTATTAGCTGATATTAGAATGGTTTGTGTCCTCAAAACTAGCTACATTCAAAAATAAACATTTCCTATTCAGCCAGCTGACTGGGACTTCTCCCGATTGCAAAACAGCCCCAACTGTAAATTTCCCCACCTTGAACTTGCCTTTCTCTTCCTATAAAAAGTCCAGGGCAAAACCATCCTGCCAAGACAGTTCATAATCTTCAGATCTGAGATGCTCTCCTATTGGACGGTCTGAATACAACTAGTTTACTTACTAGTTCACTTTTTGTCTTCTATGCCTATTATCTTTCAAAATGTACCCCAGTTTTTCTTTTTATTAGCTAACCTTATATGATAACTTCCAGGCTGTCCCACAGAGACAGGTAATAATAACAGTAGGGTTCAATCCCACATTTTATATAGAGCAGGCTGGACAAATGCAAACCATATAGGATCAAACTGATCTTTATCAGAGTAACTAAACAGCTGATCAGTTGTAAAAGTCCATACACATAACATTCCTATATCTGTAAAAATTATAGGCAGACTTAGTGCTCCTAAAATTTAATTATTAACTTAAAACATGTCATCAGAATGTTCCCATGTACCCAAAGCTTTTAAAATAATAATTATAATAAGTCAGTATTTATTTTGTACCATGTGACAAACACTGTGTTCTATGCCCTGTTTGTGTGACTGAATTTATCCTTTATCACAGGCCTATACATTTTCAAGCTGAAGCTCTGTATGGTTAAAAACCTTGTCACAACCATGCCGTTTAAGCCCATAACTCCCAACATTCTAGGAAATCCAGCATCCCTCTATTCGTTCCAATGATTTATCTGGTAGGACTGGGACTTATTTCTGCTAAGTTATTTGTTTATCTCCAGTCTTCTTTGTCCCAGCACCTGAAAACAGCTGTCTTCGTTTTATTTCTTAATTTACTACTAACCTAGTGCTAGGGTTGGTTTCAAGCTTGAACTGAAGGTTTGGAGATATTATGGGAAATTCTTGCACCAGTCTGAAAGCACCCTTAAGTGGTATAACAAATCACTTTGTTAACGTTTCTGAATCACCTGCAATGCACGGAGTCTCTCTTACCTACAGCCTTGTTTCTGCCACATTGCTGGAACCTCCCCTGAATTCCTTTTCTTTTGTCTTGTTTTCTTCATGTCTTTAATCAGCTCACATTTCTGTTCCAGCAATGTGGCAGAACAATCAGCTCCAAAATTTAATCATAATAAATAGCCTACCAACCAAAAAAGCACAGGACCTGATGGATTCACAGCCAAATTCCACTAGATGTACAAAGAAAAATTGGTACCATTCCTACAGAAACAATTCCAAAAAATTAAGGAGGAAGGACTTCTCCCCAACTCATTTTATGAGGCCAGCATCATCTTGATACCAAATCCTGGCAAAGAGCCAACAAGAAAGAAAACTTCAGACCAATATCCTTGATGAACATAGATGTAAAAGTCCTCAACAAAATACTTACAAACTGAATCCAGCAGTGCATCATAAAGATAATCCGCCATGATCAAATAGGCTTCATCCTCGGATGTAAGGTTGGTTCAACATACAAAAGTCAATAAATGTGACGCATCACATAAACAGAACTAATGACAGAAATCAAATGGTTATCTCAATAGATGCAGAAAGGCTTTTGATAAGATTCAATATCCCTTCATGTTACAAACTCTCATTAAGTATTGCCCAAAACAATTTATAGATTCAATGCTATTCCTATCAAACTACCAATGACAGTATTCACAGAACTAGAGAAAAAAATTTTAATTTATATGGAACAAAAAAAAATAAGCCTGAATAGCCAAGGCAATCCTAAGCAAAAAGAACAAAGCTGAAGGAATCATGTTACTTGACTTCAAACTATGCTATAAGAGCTACAGTAACTAAAACAACAATGGAACAGAATAGACAGCCTAGAAATAAGGATGCACATCTATAACACCTGATCTTTGACAAAGCTGGCAAAAATAAGCAATGGGGCAATGCCTCCCTATTCAATAAATGTTGCTGGGATAACTGGCTAGTCAATGGAGATTGAAACTGAACCCCTTCTTTACACCATGTACAAGAATCAACTCAATATGGATTAAAGACTTAAATTTAAAACCCAAAACTATAAAAACCCTGGAACACAACATAGGCGATACCATCCTGTACCTAGAAATGGGCAAAGATTTCATGAATGTATTAGTCAGTTTTCATGTTACCGATAAAGACATACCCAGGACTGGGCAATTTACAAAAGAAAGAGGTTTAATTGGACTTACAGTTCTATGTGGCTGGGGAAGCCTTGCAATCATGACAGAAAGCAAGGAAGAGCAAGTCACGTCTTACGTGATGGCAGCAGGCAAAGAGAGAGAGCTTGTGCAGGGGAACTCCTCTTTTTAAAGCCATCAGATCTTGTGAGACTTACTCACCATCACAAGAACAGCATGGGAACGACTTGCCTCCATGATTCAGTTACCTCCCACTGGGTGCCTCCACAGCACATGGGAATTCAAGATGAGATTTGAGTGGGGACCCAGTCAAATCATATTAATGACAAAGGCACCAAAAGCAATCACAACAAAAGCAAAAATTGACAAATGGGATCTAATTAAACTTAAGAGTTTCTGCACAGCAAAAGAAACCAACAACAGAGTAAACAAACAATCTTCAGAGTGGGAGAAAATTTTTGCAAACTGATGAAGGTCTAATATCCAGCATCTATAAGCAAACTTGGAAGAGAATATCAAACAACCCCATTAAAAAGCGGACAAAGGACATGAACAGGCATTTCTCAAAAGAAGACATACACGTGGCCAACAAGCATATGGAAAAAAGCTCAATATCACTGATCATAAGATAAATGCAAATCAACACCACAAGGAGATACCATCTCACACCACTCAGAATGGCTATTATTAAAAGTCAAAAAATAACAGACTAGCAAGTTTGCAGAGAAAAGGGAGTACTCATATACTTTGGTGGGAGTGTAAATTAGTTCAACCATTGTTGAAAGCAGCACAATGATTCCTCAAAGAGCTAAAAGCAGAACTACCATTTGACCCAGCAATCCCATTACTGGGTATGTACCCAGAGGCATATATAGGATTATACCATAAAGAGACATGCATGCAAATGTTTATTGCAGCACTGCTCACAATAGCAAAGACATGAAATCAACTTAAATGCCCATCAGTGAAAGACTGGATGAAATAAATGTGGTACATATACACCATGGAATATTATGTATCCATAAAAAAGAATGAGATCATGTCTTTTGCAGGAACATGGATGGAGCTAGAGGCTATCATCAAATTTGTTAGCAAACTAACACAGGAAAGGAAAGCCAAATACCACATGATCTCACATGTAGATGAGAGCTGAATGATAAGAACTTATGAACACAAGAAGAAAACAACAGACACTGGGGTCTGCTTGAGGGGGGATGGTGCGAGTAGGGAGAGGAGCAGAAAAGATACCTATTGGGTACTGAGCTTAATATCTGGGTGATATAATAATATGTACAACAAACCCCTATGACATGTGTTTATCCATTTTACAAACCTTCACATGTACCCCAGATATAAAGTAAAAATTTTTAAAAAGCATAATTCAGCTTCCAAGAGATTTTTCCTGGATGTGAGATGATGTGGTGGCTTAGAAAGTACTCCTTTAAGTTCAAGACCAGCCTAGCCACCATAGTGAAACTCCATCTCTACTAAAAATACAAAAAAAAAAAAAAAAAAAAAAAAAGTAATCTTTTATTGTTTGGGTCTCTTCCCTACAAAATATAAATTCCAATTCGGTTGCTCTTAAATATGAACTGACAGAATTTTGGAGAACAGGTTACAAAAGTTGACAAATTTCCATCTGGCTCTCTTCTTCAAATGTTCTTAGAATACATCTGCTTTGCTATAAGTAAGCCCAAGCCATCCCATATGGAGGCACGTTCAGAAGCCATGCACAGGTGCTCTGGCCAAAAATCAAGCTGAAGTCCCAGCTGACAGCCAGTAGCAGTCACCAGACTTACGAGTGAGGAAGTCTTATAGATGGCTCCAATCCCAGCCACCAGCTGCCTGCAAAGCATGAGAGACTCCTAGCAATGATTGCCTAGAGTAGCCTAGTCAAACCCTAAAGCCATGAGAAATAGTGGTAACAAGTGATTGATGTTGCTATAGTCTGCTAAATTTGGGGTAGTTTTCTATGCAGTAACCAATAACCAGGACAGGTGTCAAATCATTTCCAACTCTACTCCGTTTTCTAATGGTGGTAGGTGAATGAAGTGTTCCAAGAGGGCGATTGTGCCTGAGTGGTTCCGGGGTCCACCATTGTGGCCTCTCAATCCTGAAGGACTCGAAACCAATTTATCTGGGTCCATGAGTTTGCTCTAATTGCATGTTTAAGCGTCAATTCTGGGAAGTCGTGGCTTGATGGAGGGAGGGATCAAGATCCCTTGGTGGTTTAAAGTGAGC